CAGGCTTCTGCAAAGACCCCCGGCCACCGGCGTAGCTGTTGTAGGAGCAGATGGTGCAGCTTCCACACCAGCAGCTTCATGCAGCTGCACACAGCCCCTCTTGACCCCCACTTTTTTGGAGTTAACCCCCTCCCCAGCCCTCTTTCCAGGCCAGAAAGGACTCGAGCACCTCCAGGCAGCTCTGCAGTGCACCTCTGGCAGGGGCTGTGCATGGGGGCAGGGGGCAGGGTGCTGTCTCCTGTCTACCCAGGGCACTGGATGTCCTTGAAACCCCACAAATCCCAGCAACCTTTATCCATGCTCAGCCACAAAATAGCAACCGCTCCTCTTATTTCTGGGTGCATTGACCCAACCAAACCCTCCCTACATCTCAGGCTTTCCCCACCCCGCTCAGTTTTAGCTCTCATTGCTGGAAGCTGCTTTCTTGCTTGCCCTGAAGGAAGGGGAGGCACGAAGCGGTGGCGGGTATGCCGGTAGCTCGTACCGCAGCAGGATCGCTTGCAAGGATGCTGGCTACAGCAGCAGGGGGAGCTGCAAGGGGAAAGAGGCCGTATCCTTGCAGCAAGCCATTTCAGCAGCCTTGCGCTCAAATGCCGTGAGCAGCCCAAGAGCACACATGAGCGGAGGCTTCTTCCAAGGAGCAGAGCCTGGCCACATCCTGGCAGGACAGCGACCGGTGCCTCGTGTCGTGTGACTCCCCACCGCCCTGCCGTGCAGTCCTGCCCACTGAAACACCTGAACCGTTGACAAAACAACATATTTTTCCGTAGGTTTGTGTTCCGAAATACTACAGTGCTGGGGTTTCTTTTTTCTCTGCTATTTTCCAAGACACAGTTCAACGGGAAGCAAGCACCTGGCAGGGCATTTCCAGCCTGAAATCTGGAGAAGGACCTGCAAATGGTGGTGTGATGGAAAGCACCAAGCCGTGCTCACAGGGTGCTGGCATGGGTGACAGCCTGGCTGGGACCAGAGGGAGGGCAGGCTGGGCAGCTGATCCCTGTGGGACACGCAGCCCTGGCCATGCCACCCCCCTGAACACGGTCAATCCCCCCACCGCCTCCCTGCAGCATCCTCAGCGGTTCCTCCAGCCTCTGGCTACCAGCTGGCAGCACCTTCCGAGGGATCAGCTTATCTCCCCAGCTGCGGCCCAACCCCTGCCGTGGCGTGGGTTAGACCTGGTAAAAATGGAGCAGCATGGGATCCACAGGAAGAGAAGAGAAAACTGTTTGCTGAAGCCAGGAAACAGCCAAAATCAAATGCATCTTTGCACAAAGCAACAACGTGCGAAAGGAGTGGTGGTGCGAGCCTGCCCTGGCTCATCAGGAGCGGGGCGGAGGAGGACCAGGCACGCTGGGCACAGCGGGGAGGTGATGGAGAGAGCAGATAGAAAGGGAATGCCAGTTATGGAAACAGCCAGAGCGAAGCCACAGCTCCGGGTGGGCACGGCGGCCAGGGGAGGCATGGGGGTGAGCTTCCTGCCCAACTTGGGAGTTAACTGCCTCCCCAGCCCCGCTTTCCCAGCCAGAAAGGGCTTGCTGAGCTCAACCCAGGGCTGAGAGTGGTCCCGAGGGACCTCCTCACGCACCAGTGAGCCCAGCAGGGCCACCCGTGTGTTCCTGGGCACCCTCCAGGCAGGTTCTGCGAGCAAACTGGGGGACATGGATGTGAAGCAGGGTGCCTGCACGGTGCTGCCAAACATGCGGAAGGGGACTGGGGGCACCTGAAAGGTGCTAGGGCTGCAGGGGGGAAAGAGGGGGGCTACTCAGTGGCCACAAGCCCATTTGAATGCTCAGGCCTGAAAAGGCAAGTCAGTGGGTTATACTGGGTAAGCCACCAGACCTGCCCTCTGCACCAAGAATGCTGCCAGTGGGATGTCGGCCACAATGTCGCCGCACCCTGCTGGACAAGGCACTGGACCAGGAGGTTACAAATCGTGTCGCCGCACCCTTCTGGACAAGGCACTGGACCAGGAGGTTACAAATCTGGACCATGAGAATTGCAGGTTGTCGGTGGCTTCTAGGGCAGCCTCCAAAAGCCAATGCAAAGAACGCAGGTTTGTGGGGGCAGCCTGGCCCATTTGAAACCGCCTGTGCACTTTGCACAAGCTGTTGCCCACGGCTGGGTTTGGGAGGTCAGCAAGACTCCCACAGGCACATTTATTGGGATGTAACTGCAAAAAAAGTAATTCCCACAGGCAAGAGCACCAGAGACTCCCCCACTTGGAACCTCTTGTCTGCACAGGAGAGAAACCTTCCCCGTGCATCCGCCCCGTGTACTGCAAACACTGAAGGATGTTGGGGGTGAGAACCCACCGAACTCATTTACTCTTCGCTCAGTGAAGGGATCCTAGGGCTGGGAAGGGGCTCAGAACACCTCCCAGGGCTCCCTAAGCCTCTTCAGAAGGCTGCTGCCCAACCCACTGGTGTGATGCATCCACAGGAAGCCCCCAGAGGTGGGAGGTCCTCGGACTCATGGGAGATGCACGCTGTCCATGCACCCTTCCACAGCTCCTGGGGTGCAGCCAACACTCAGCAGACTGATGCAACTATTGAGCTGCATTTGTGCTGCCACATGGGGGACCATTGGGGTGTCCTCCAGCCGTGCTTTCACCAGACAGCTATGGGATGTCCCTGGAGCTCAGACACACTTGAGCCATCTCCTGCAGTGACCATTAAGCTGAAAAGCCAGCTGGCACAGGGTGGTGGCCAAGGCAGCCCTGGCCCATGCAGTATTGCTGTACTGTCAGGTTTATTGCCCGGGCTGCCCCACTGGGCCAGGGGTGTGGGAGCACTGGAGGTGCCCAGTCTGTGCCCCTGAGTCGCAGCTGTGTCCTTATGGTAGGTTAACTGGTGGCTGCTCTGAAGACCTTCTATCCCTCTTCGGGGTCTTGCTCCCTTGGCTCTGCCACTGCAGGCACCGCTTGGCTCCCATGGGTTCTGCCCAGCTCCCAGCAGGCTGCTCCAGGGGCTTTTGCACACCCAGGACTGCTGGACACATGGAGCTGCCAGATGACCAGGTCAGACAGACCATGAGGACAGATGGACCTCAGGGCTGTTGTGCACCCAGGGCTGCCAGGCCCCTGGGACAGCCAGATCCTGAGGCTGTTGCAGACCTGGAGCTGCTTGGTTCTGGAACAGCCGGATTCCAGGACCGATGGGCACTTGGGGCTGCCAGACTCCTGGGACAGCCGGACCTGGGGCTCTTGGGCACTCAGGGCTGCTGGGCACTTGGAGCCGCTGGATCCCCAAATCAGCTGGACTCCCAGGGACTCACAGGCACCTGAAGCTGCCAGGACCATCAAGACAGCCAGATCCAGGGGCTGCCATGTACCTGGGGCTGCTGGATCCCCGGGTCATCCAGATCCCAGCCCTGCTGCACACCTGGGGCTGCCGGATCCCC